AAATCTCCTCTCAAAAAATTAAGATTTTATATTTTTCTAGATCTTCAAAAATGTACTGTAGATTCTAGGGCAGGGGTCCTTGTCCATTTTCATGACATGGACACATCTGGTATGTTGGGGAAGCCTATGGATCCCTTCTCAGAAAAATGTTTCAAATTACATAAAATAAAATATATAGAATTAAAAAAAATTATACTGAATAACAGATATCAAACTATTTTAAAGAACAAATTTGCAATATTAATATGCAAGCTTTTTTTGCTAATGCACTACTAATCTTTGTGATCTGTAATTGTAAGTTTTTTCCCAAATAAATTTGAAGAAAATGGCTTTCATTACAGCACTGCTAACCATCTAGGTTTTTTTAGAATCTTTTCAAGTACATCATTTATTCCAATCTTTTGTACACAGAAGACCCTCTATAACTTCTGTGAGAGGTAATCACAACATTAATAATGTGTGGATATTAAAATGTCAAACAGAGCCAAACTGGACTTCTGTGAAATTCTAGATCTTTCAGATGATCTAGAATTGTTTTGCTGATCTTTCAAACACCTGCTAAAATTCTGCTCCCAGTGCACCAAGGCGAGGGGTGAACCAAGCACCCAGCCACATCACACATTCTCTCTCTGTGTCTTTCAGCGTCTGCAAGAGCTGGTCTAAAAGTGCAGTTCTGAAGCATGAAAACTGCTAAGCACTTCATCAGATTTCTGCTTCATAAAACATAAAAGTTACAGTGGTTTTGGAAAAAAAGAAAAAAGGTCTGAGAAGCTAATAGGACTTGAAAGCCCTTAACTGAAATGTTGGTGGCACAGGCTCAAGGCACAGAATTACTCATCTGTACAAGAGTGTGTTCCAAAACAGCCCCGCTATGCCCCCAGCAATCACCACACACAGTCCTATCAGCTATCTCGAGATGGAGCCTAAGTCAACCAAAATTTAACATTTCCCTCCAAAACATTCTAGAGAGCTGTGTTCTTAAATGAATGTAAGTTACTCTTCACTGTTTGAGCCAATACTCCTTCTTTTTCAAGAAAGTGGAATTCTACTGTTACAAGAGTCATCTGGGTGTTTGTTGTAATATATCTTCAGGTAGCTCCTAGATTTTCAGCCCTTAGATTCTTTGAAGGCCCAGTTGAGTCCTCAGTGACTCAGTGAGGAGCCTCACAGTTTGGACGCAGGTGGCTGGCTTGCGTTCGACAGACTCTAGTATCTTACACTCCCCATGAATTCAAGGAAGCCTGGATAACCTGCAATTCACTAATTAATTCTTCCTATGAACACTTCTTGAACACCTAATGTGTACTTGGGCATATCACAGTGAATGAGCCACAGCCTCTGCCTTTAAGTGTATCACAGCTAATCTTGGTCCCTATCACAGCTCAGTGCAAATGCCAATTGCCAAGCCTGAAGTCTGACCCTTAAATGGCCACCAGAGTCCTAACATAACACAACTAAGATGTGTTAGCTGTGTTAATAGAAGCTGAAGGAAGGAGGAGGCAGTTGTAGGAAAAAGTTCCTAAACAAAGTGTGTTGTGCAATACAAAGGGCTGTACTTGAGCTGATTCTAAAAGTTTTGGTTTTCATATTACTAAGAGGATGTATTTGTATTTCTCATTAGCCCAATTGAAAAAAATAGCAACAGGAAGTTTCCCTTGACTTGAGTGAATGTTTGAAACCTGTTTATATTGTAATATAAATATACAAATTTATATTATATAACATATTATTATTTAGAGAAGTAAAGGAGTGTTTCAAGTCTTGATTTGGGGCCACTCAGAGGATCAACAGTTATTATAACACTGATCCCAAATTGCAGGGTAGGGGAGGAGTGGGGGGAGAATATGTATATTTCAATACCTTACAAAAATAAATATTTGCCAGCTGCACTTTTAGAAGAAAACTAGAGGTGATGCCAAACGAAACAAATAATAGTAAAGGGTGGCAGCCCTGATGCTACTGAGAATCACCATTCTAGACAGTGAGAAGACCCCGAATCTAGCTAAAATCACAAGGAAAAAAATTGTCCAGCAGCTGAGCTCATTTCCAAAATTGAAAGTCTACTAGCTTGATGTGTGGAATGAGCATTTTCCTCTAGAGTTGGAGAGACCTGGATTTGAATCCCACCTTTGCCTTGTACCCAGTCAGTGGCCTTAGGGAAATTATTGGGCTGGCCAAAAAGTTCATTTGGGTTTGTCCGTAGCCCCAACGAACTTTTTGGCCAACCCACTATTTAACCTGTGTTTCAGTTTCCTCACCTGTAAAATGGGTCTAAAAATACCTATCTCTTAGGATTGTTGTAAAGATTCAGTGAAGTGAATAAAGTTCTTGGCACCAAGTAGGTATATGAAAAATGGTAGTGCCCCTCCCCACCATTTACCATAGCATGCAGGAGGTGGGGAGGGTTGTTTTGTTTTGTTTTTTCTAGCAGTGGGTTGGGGAGGGGTGGTTGTTGTTTTAAGAGAATAACTCTTAAAGCCTAGAAGCTATATTTAGGAGACAAGGATTAACAGTGCATAATGACAGTTTAATTCACAATTTCACACTGAATTCTCATATTGCTAGATCTATATCTCTGCATATAGTGATTGCCATCTACCTCACTTGGAGCGCTCATCAAGAATTCTAACAGGTTTCAATTGAACAATTGGTAACAATGATCGTATCAGACAAGTTCATTTTCTATAAAGAAGTCATGTTCTGTCTTTCTTCTTTGAATGATTTTAGAAAGCAAAGCCAAATTTTGCAAAAGCAAAAAATTCAATCAAGAACAGTAAGAAGTCACTCAGTCATTTAATAAGCCTTTGCTTAGCATCCACAACGTGCCTGGCACTGTTCTAGGCTCCAGGGATTCAGACAGGCAGACAAGGGCCCTGCCTTCTTGGAGCTTAACACCCTAGTGACTTCAAAATTGTCTCCAATGTCTTTAACCCTGGATACAGGTGGCACTTCATAAGGAAGCCAATGATTCTGAAGCACATGGGACTCAGCACTGGGAATAATCCTTGCACAGTAAAAAGAATCTGATTCCCTGGAGTCCAGATGTCTAATTCCAGTGGGTCAAATTAAAAAATGAAGAGGACCCATTGAAATGCTTTGAGCTATTCTGAACCCAAAGTAACATTCAGCTGTTGGAATAAGAACAAGACATTCCACTGTTTTTAGACCAGCATTCTTTTCCATATGGAACCAATTTCTTGAAATATCCTTAAGAGTATCTGGAGGCTCAGTGTTATGTGAAACTTGAAAGCAGACCATAATGTAATGATTTAGAATATGGAACTGGTCAAGGGGGTTTAACATTCTAATCTCACAGCCCCACAAACATCACACCCTAGATTCAGCTCGATCATTGACTTGTAAACTTCCCTAGGGCTTAGCTTCCTCTTCCACAAAATGGGAAGGACAGTGGCACCTGTCAGAGTTGGCCAACTGCTATAGCAAACAATTCAAAATCTCAGTGGCCTGACATAATAAAAGCTTAATTCCTGCTTGCTTCATAGCCCAGTGCTGGTTGATGAGGTGACCCTGTCCTACCTCATCAGTCAGGGTCCTGAGTTGATTAATCACATGATTCCAGCACATTCTTGAGCCTTGTCCTCCTCCACATTCCGTTGTCAGGTGAGGAGAAGAAAATATGTCAAAGACAACATAGGTTTTGTTTTCTAGACAGACCTTGGAGGGGTAGGGGCTTCCATCCTTCCATCCTTTCTGTCCACACTGCAATGTTCAGGACTCAGTCTCGTGGCTACATGTATCTGCTGGGAGGCTGGGGAGTGTAGACTGACTATGTGCCCTGGAGGGAGAGGAAGTAGAGTTTGGTGAGCACATAGTGGACTTCACCACAATGCTAAATCCAAAAAGCTGTTTGGAGGATTAAGTGAGATGATATACATAAGAACTCATAAAGATCTCTAGATCAATACATATTAATTCTGGAATAATATTAGTTCTGCACTCCTAGCTAGGCTGAGGCCCATCTTCTCCACTCACCTCACCTTGGATGAGCAGAGAAGGGGCAAGGCGGTGACATTATCTTTATGTTACCTGCAGAGACAGCTCCAAAAAGAGAAAGCTACCTACGTCCTCTGCTCCCTTTACCAGGCATCTTAATCTAGAACCATTTTAGATACATTTCATATTATTGAGAGCCATCGTCAAGGAGAAGAGGCCATCTTTTCATAGTACACTCCCAAATAATACTGGTTCTTTTTGGCAAATGTTTCCCAGAAAAGCTTATCTTATTATTAAATGATGCCTATAGTGTGTGACCTTAAGCTCTGAAAGAAGGTAGGATTCACCAGATTGACTCATCCAGATCTGTTCTCCAAGCTGCCACAGAGTGATTTCTTCTAAACAAGGTAAATCAGATCATGTCAACATCTGCTTAAAACCCCCCACTGTCTTTCTATTGAGTTTAGAATAAAATCCAAAGGCCTTATGCAGGGTATTCCCCATCCCACGCTCCCAGGATCAGCCCTGCCTCTCTCCAACCTCATCTCACATCTTTCTCCTCCTCTCCCTATTCATTCATTCTTTCATTCATTCATTCAACAGCTGTTTATTTAGCCTTGGTTCAGTCCCTGGGGATACCGTAGTAAAATAGACAGGCTTACGGGTCCAGCCACTCCGCGGCATGTGGGATCTTCCCGGACTGGGGCACGAACTCTCAACCACTTTATAGCATTCAGCAATCTGGAAAATCCTTTTCATTGTTTGTGTGCATTTATTTATTATCTATCTTCCTCTACCACAGTGTAATTCCCACGAGGACAGGATCTTATTTATCTTATTCACTGTAGTATCCTTAACACCTGTTTGCCTGGCACCAAGTAGAAGCCCAATAAGTATCTGTTGAATGAATGGCTCAAGGAACGAATGAACTGACAGGCAGCAACCAGCACATCTGGTGATGCCCTCAGGCCTGAGGAGAAAGTGTGCTGCGTTTTCCTTCCTGATATCCTGTGCTCATCTGTGTCCCTCTGATTGTGGTTTTGTAGGGAATGACACCACTCCACTGGGCAACTTTCCACAACCGGCCTCAACACACCCAAATGCTGCTGAAGAAGGGGGCAGACCCCACCCTTGTGGATAAAGACTTTAAAACGGCTCTCCACTGGGCTGTGCAGGTGAGAAGTTAGCCAGTGAGCTTGTCTCAAGTATAAATGGTGTAAAGCAATGTTAACAATTCTGAGTATGTCAGACCTGAAAGATGGAATTTTCAAAGGTACAGTCCCAGCACTGATGTGGACTTTATATGTACAACAGAGCAAGTAAGATACATGCTGCCCTCTTCCCTTCATTCATATCCAGAGCAGCAACAGCAAACCTGTCACTTTGGAGGATTTGGGTACATCAGTTGCTGAGAAGAAATCCTGCCAAGGTAAAGAGGGGGAGGAGTTACAGAATATCACCCACCTCGGCTGTTACACACACACACACACACACACACACACACACACACACACACACACACACACACACACCCTCTCTCTCACTCTCTCTTTCTCCATCTCAATGATTGCTGCTGGCTCACAGTGTACCAGGATAACCCTTCAAAGAATTATTAGGAAAGTCTCTTCAAAGTCTTTGGACCATGACTCTCTTCTTCCTTCCAAATCCTCTGAAGCAGAGGTGACCCTGAACAATGGTACTCTGACCAGTGAAAATTGTGGCTCATAACCCTACCTCACTATCCCAAAAGGGAGTCTGTATCAGTACACGTGACCAGAGAAATAGAAATCTACAGTCCAAGGCGGGGAAAACTGGGACTTCCCGGTGGTCCAGTGGTTAAGACTCCATCTTCCAATGCGGGGGGTACGGGTTTGATCCCTAGTCTGGGGTTCCACTTGCTGTGTGGTGCAGTGCAGCCAAAAATTTTAAAAAACCACAAAACCCAAAGAGGGGAAAACTGAGACTAAAGTGAAAGAGTGACCATAGCTAACATTTATTGAAGTGTCTTCTAAGGAAATCATTCAAAGGGAATGATTAAGAGTTACCTATTCTGTCCTTGAGAGGAGAGCGATACTATGCATCCTTTCAACAAACTTGCTAGCGCATTCTGTCTTTTCATGCCTAACCTAGGCATCCCCACTGTTTATTTCTATCAGCCCAATAAGGGCACCCTTGCTGAACTGCTGCCAGGATCCCTGTGATTCTGCACGCCCTGATGGTGGTTTCACTCAGGTGTTTTCACATGCCACACACAGCAGAGAAGGGCACCTGGCACTTTCAGGGTTGACATGTGTGCCTGAGATAAGGGCAAAACAGAAGTGATTTGGAAACTACTCTGTTTTTGTTCCTACAAATTTGGCTTCAGTTACCCTGTAGCAGGGCCAGCCCTGCAAAACTGTGAGGTGAACAGAGCATGTTTTTGTCATCCTCACCTGCCCTTAGCACCCTCCTCCATACTTTCAGTATCTAATCAGCTCCCGTCATGCCAGCCTCTGCCCAGAGCCCAGCCCTCCGGCTGGTCAGGGGTCACCATTGGAGCAGTGGCCCCAGGGCAGCCTGGCTGGGCAGCCGAGATGTATCCCACATGTGTTGGCTCTCAGCTAAGGTGAGAGTGGTATCAGAATCAAGCATTCTGTATATTCACTCCCATCGCCCCTGTTTTCTGATTTCACAGATCTGGGATGGGGCTCATGCATGTGCATTTTGAAAAATCTCCCCGGGTAATTCTGACTGATATGCCTCCTCTGCTCCACCTTCCTCTCCCACAGCCCAGTTTAGAGCTGCTGCTTGGGAGATGGCTTTGCAATCGAATCAGCAGCAGTGCTTGTAAAACAACAGGTTCCCAGACCCCACTCCAGACCCCTTCTGAGTTGGGCTCTTCATGGGTGGGAACCCTTGTTTTGATCCTCCAAGAGGCAATTTGGCAAAATCCAAAGAAAAATGTGCTCGACTCAGAAGATCTGAGTTTGCATTAACAGACCTGGCTTTGTTCTGAAAAGAGTCACCTAAACCTGCTTGGCTTAACTGTAGGTGTATCTTTGGGGCATGAATGAGACCATGCTCATGACAGTGATGTGTAATATTCTTTGTAATTGGAATAGATTATCATTTTTATGATGGCTCCCAATTTCCTCCATGAAAGCTTAGTTATCATACCCTCATCTACATACTGTATTCTTTCTCTCTACTAAATGTTATAGTTTTTAACCTGCTACATTGATTTCAGTCCTGTCTGCGCATTAGAATCATTTGAAGAGCTTTTAGGCAATACTGATACCCAAGCCCCACACCCTTAGTTTTTCAGTCAGTTTGTCTGGGGTGGAGCCTGGGTGTCAGTAATTTTTAAAGTTTTCCCTTCCTCCAGGAGATTGTAATGTCCACCTGGGGTTGAAAACCACTGTGATAAATGAATTCGTATTAATGGGTTCTCAAACCTTAGCTACTCCTACCTAAGATATTTACATTTTGACCATGATTTTGTGTAATAAGCATAATGCCTCACACATTTATATACTCAATAGCTTAATAAATATTTCATGAGAAAAAAAAAATTTCATGAGCACCTATTCTGCATCTGGCATTGTGGGGGGAAAGATTTAGAAGACAGGTTCCTTCTAGGACCCCTACAGTTGTATGTAATATTGCATGTTCTTATGTGTGAGGATGTTAGCATACAATTTTCTGAGGAAGGTGTTCACAGTTTCTTCAACTCTTCAATGAGGATCTGTAACTACCCCCCGCCCTCGCCAAAAGGTTAAGAATCACACTCTGGAGGAACTGTACACCGTCTCCCTCCCTGCGGTTGGCAGTAAAATTCAGAAGTGGTGTGTTCTGCCCTTTATTCTGCGAAGAAGACTGAGGGTAATTCCAAATGTCAGCTGCAGCTGGGATTATACTTGCCACCGTTAGCCTTCTTCTTCATTTATAACTCAGGGCCAGCGCTGTGTTCCTCATAAAGTTTTTCCACATAAATGAGTCTATTTCCCATTGTCATTAATTCCTTTCACTGAACTTCCTGCTTTTCTCTTCAACTATATGAGACCATATTTAAAGCTATAGCACTTTGAACTGATAAAGCTTCTGTATTTGACCCAGGCAGCCAAAGCAGTAAAGATTTGAAACATTGGGCCCAAAAAGTAAACTAAGTTTCACTTCAGCCCCCATTTCTTGGGTCCCTTGGTAGCTGGTGGTGCCCTCCTGTGGGCCCATTGCCCTTGTTCACCTCCCCCATCTGCCCAGGAGACCAGATTGCATGGCTCTCTCTGGGCTAACACTGAGCAGAACTCTGTCCCTATCTGCATCCAGTCTCCCTTGATGGAATCTCAGCCCTTCGGGGCATGTTCTTGCCTATCTGTGATGACACTAGCTTATCAGGACTCTACACAGGTATCTCTCGGACTCATCTTCCTCTCACTCCTCAACACTGCAGAAATTTAGTCATTAATCTTTTTCTCATTCCCCTTTCCTCAGAAAGCCCATCGGTTCCTAAGGCTTCAACTATCATTCTACTCAGAATTTCCTCAGATCAAAATCCAGCTCTGACCTCTCTCTTGAACGTTAAACTCACATTTCCAGCTCTACCAGGCATCTTCCCATAATTTCCCATGGACACGTCAAACTCAGCATGTTCAAACTGAATCCATGATCTCTCCTTCCCGCCACATTCCCATCCACCCGGTAGCCCAAGCCAAAGGCCATCATGTGGCCCATGGACACTGCTTCCTTATCATCCTTCATGTGTAATTGGTTATTGGCCAATTGGTGTATTGGTGTATTGTAATTGGCCCCAGCAGGAAACAACCCACTCAGATGGGATTATTTGAGCATAGATTCATAAAGAGGCTATTTACGCACAACAGCAGGTTGCCATTAGGGCATCTGGGAGGGCATGGGAGGCAGTGGTTACTAAGACACAGCAAAAGCTGTAGCTGTAGGAAAGGGCCTAGGATGGAAACTGTAGACTTTGATGGAACAGTCAAACTGTGGCCTAGCAGGGAGGGAACTGGAGAATAAATGCCCCAATCACTCTTTCCTCCTACATCCATCTCCTGTCAGTACCACTCACTGGCCAATCCCAACCAGAAGCCAAAGGGCAAAGGGGCCCATTTGATGCAATTCATACATGCTAAAGGATGAAAAGCAGGATGAAAAAAGATGGAGAGTTAACCGGGAAGAACAAATGGAGACAATTTAGTACACCTACCATCAGTGCCTTAGATCAAGCTTCCCCTGTCTCCCACCTGAACAGTTTCAGTATCTGTATTCCTACTTTCAGCCCTTTCCTTCTCCAATCTATTCTCACATTGCACCAAGTGCTTTCTACAAATCACAAAGGAATGTACTAACATAACTGTTACTACAACAAAACAATTATGGTCACTGCTGGTTCTTGGCTCAAAAACCTTCACCAAGTGCCATTTTCTGGTAACGAACAAACTCCTTGACTTGCACTTACTGCCATGAACAAGCTCTCTGCAACCCACCCCACTCCCTGCCCTTTCCTCTTCAAGCCATATAGGCTTTACTCCAACCGTACTAGAATATTAATAATCTCCTCATTACATCGTAAAGATTCATCCTGTCTTCCCCTTGGTCATGCGCACAGGCTTCTCATTGTGGTGACTTCTCTTGCTGCAGAGCATGGGATCTAGGCACATGGGCTTCAGTAGTTGTGGTGCACAGGCTTGGGAGTTGTGGCTCGCAGGCTCTAGAACACGGGCTCAGTAGTTGTGGCGCATGGGCTTAGTTGTTCTGCTGCGTGTGGGATCTTCCCAGACCAGGGATCGAACCTGTGTCCCCTGCATTGGCAGCTGCCTTAACCAGTGCACCACCAGGGAAGTCCACGTGCCTTAGTCCATGTGGCTTAGTATCAAGGAGTTTTTTCTAATGATAGGAATTCTAGGATAGATATGATGGCAGGTCAGTGAGAAGGGCAAGTATCTACTGCCCCTCAAATCTCACCTCTAGCTCCTTCCTCCTAAACCTAGAAAATGTGTTTATCTGGAATCTTCCTCAGCAGTACTCTTCTTTCAGTGCATTTTTCAAGGGAGGTTAGAAAGAAAAGAACTGCAGTAATATAAAACTATTTCATGTTTGTTCATTCAGTATGTGGTTATGTGGTTAAGGAAATTATACACACACACATACCCTTGGAGCTCTTGAATATAACCATCAA